AGAGCCCACACCGGCGGGCGCTTCCGCTCCCGCTCCCTGCCCTTCCCCCCAAGCTCGCACCGGACGGAAGAGGCACCAGACGGAAGAGGCGGGAGGCCCCAGCGCATCCTTGGAGCAACGCTTTCCAGGGAAGCCCTAAAGCCACCGGGTAGCCGGCTTCCTCCCAGAAGCGCCCCCTCCTGGCCGCTGGTCAGCGGTGCAGTCCGCCGCATGGAATAGGATCCCGGGTTCTGGGGAAAGGCTGATCCCAAGGGCCGGTGAGCAGCGCCCGTCAAGCCGCTCCCGCCCCTCAGGACGCCATGAGCCGGCGCAGGTACACAACACTGGGCTGCCACATCGGGATCGGGCACAGAGAAACCCGCTACACCAAGGCTGTAAATAACCAAAGGAACCTACAGTGCCTACATCAGCACCTGCCGACCTCAAATAAGAAGTCATGGACACAAATGAGAGGCTCCAGAAAATAATTCTGACAATCTGAAAAAAGAGTTCCTCAACACGCCCAAAAGACCCCACCAGCTCTCCAGCAACCACACCTAAACAAAATGAAATTGCTGAAATTCCAGACAAAGACTAATGATGAAAGTGAAAAACAACATAAAGAAATTAAAAAAAAAAAAATCTATCCAGGACATGAATGAAAAGAATCTCCAAAGACATAGACACCTTAAAAAAATAAAATAAAACAAGGTCAGTGCAGTGGCTCAGCCTGTAATCCCTGTACTTTGGGAGGCCAAGGCGAGAGGATTGCCTGAGCCCATGGATTTGAGACCAGCCTGAGCAACTTGGCAAGACCTCATCTCTATAATAAATCAAGAAAAAATTAGCCAGGCATGGTGGCATGCATCTGTAGTTCCAGCTACCTGGAAGGCTGAGGCAGAAGGATCACCTGAGCCCAGCAGGTTGAGGTTGCAGTGACTGTGAGCATGCACTCCAGCCTGGGTGACAAGTGTGAGACTCCAACTCAAAAAAGAAAAACAAAAAACCCAAGCTGAAATTCTGGAAATGAAAGAAGCATCTAGAGAAGTACAAGATACAGCAGGAAGTTTTAACAGACTAGAACAAGCAGAAGAAATCCTATCAGACAAAGAAAAAAGAATCAAGAAAACAGAACAGTCTCCAAGAAGTGTGGTATTATATAAAATGTCCAAACCTAAGCAGCAGGTTTGGAAAACCTATCTGAGGGAATAATGGAGGAAGACTTCCCTGGTCTTGCCAGAGATCTAAACATCCTGAGATACAAGAAGCCCAAAGAACCCCCAGAAGATTCATTGCAAAAAGGACAGCCCCAAGACATATGATCATCTGACTATGCAAGGGAAAGCATTTTAAGAGAAGTGAGACAAAAAGCATCAAATAACTTATAAAGGAAACCTATCAGACTAACAACAGACTTCGCATAAGAAACCCTACAAACCAAAAGGGGACCCATCTTCAACCTCCTCAAAAAGAATAACTGTCAGCCAGAACTTTGTATCCCACAAAACTAAGTTTCATAAATGAAGGGGAAATGAAGTCATTTGCAGACAAGCAAACACTCAGAGAATTTGTCATCATTAGACCAGTTCTACAAAAACTATTCAAAGGAGTCCTAAATACTGAAACAAAGGGTCATAGTACACCAGTAGAAAGATGCTATAAATCATAAAGCAAACAGGCTTTATGGAACACCAATAAAAAATAAATAAATAAAGCAACCAGATAACAACCAGTATGATGAATAGAATTGTACATGTCATTATTAACTCTGAATGTAAATGGTCTCAGTGCCCCAATTAAAAGATATAAACTGGCAGGATGGATTAAAAAAAAAAAACACAACCCACTTATCTGTTGCCTTCAAGAGAGCCTTAATTCACCAAGACTTCTATAGACTCAATGTAAAGGGATGGGGGAAAAATATTCCACACAAATGGAAAATAAAACAGGAATAGCCATTCTCTCTCTCTCTCTCTCTCTCTCTCTCTCTCTCTCTCTCTCTCTCTGTCTCTTTCTCTCAGCCTCTCCCTTGTTGGAGTCTTACTCTTATCTCCTAGGCTGAAGTGCAGTGGCACACTCATGGCCACTGTGACCTTGACCTGTTGGGCTCAGGCACTCCTTACGCCTCAGTCTTCCAAGTAGCTGGAACTACAGACACATGCCACCATGCCTGGCTAGTTTTTGTGATTTATTGTAGAGATGAGATCTCACCAAGCTGCACAGGCTGGTCTTGAGTCCCCAGGCTCAGGCAGTCCTCTTGCCTTGGTCTCCCAAAGTGCTGGGACTATGGGTTAAGCCACCTCACCTGGCCTAGGAGTAGCCATTCTCTTAACAGGTAAAACAGACATTAACTATTAAATTAACTTTATATTAACAACAGTAAAAAAAAATGACAAAGATGGCTATTATATAATGACAAAGAGATTAATCCAACAAGAAGACATGACAATTTTAAATATGTATGTTCCTAACACCAGAGCCCCCAGCTTTATAAAACAAATTCTACTAGACCTAACAAAAGAGATAGACAGCAATACAATAAGAGTGGGAGACTTCAACACTCCACCGACAGCAATAAACAAATCATCAAGGCAGGACGTCAACAAAGACACACTGGAGTTATATAGGACTCTAGAGGAAATGGAACAAACAGACATCTACAGAACATTCCTTCCAAAGCTACAGAATACACATTTTTCCTATCAGTACATGGAACATTCTACAAGATAGACCACAGGGTAGGCCATAAATTCAAAAACAGTGAAATCACATCAAGCACCACGTCAGACCACAGTGGAATAAAACTAGAAATTAACTCCAGGAAGAACTCATAAAACCAAAGATATGGAAGTTAAACAATTCACTCCTTAATGATACTTGAGTCAGCAATGAAATCAAGATGGAAATTTAAAAATCCCTTGAAACAAATGAAAACAATGAAAAACGTTATCAAAACCATTAGTATGGCCAAAGCTGTGCTCAGAGGAAAATTTTTATAATGCTCAAGGCTTACATTAAGACTGAAAGATCATGTATCATCAACCTAACATCACACCTCAAGGAATTGGAAAAACATACAAACCAAACCCAAGAAGAAAAGAAATACCAAAGATTAGAGCAGAAACAAGTGAAATTGAAATTTAAAAAAATACAAAGGATCAATGAAACAAGAAGTTGGTTCTTTGAAAAGATAAACAAAATTGATAGACCACTAGCTAGATTAATTAAGAAACAAAGAGATAAGACTCAAATTAGCTCAATCAGAAATGAAAAAAGGAGACTTTACAACTGATACAATGGAAATTCAAAAGATCATCCAAGACTATTATGAGCACCTCTATGCAAACAAACTAGAAAATCTAAAGGAAATAGATTAATTCTTAGAAACATACAACCTCCCCCAACCTTGAATCAGGAAGAAATGGAAACCCTGCATAGGCCAATAATGAGTAGTGAGATTGAAACAGTAATTAGAAGTCTCCCAACAAAAAAAGAAAAGTCCAGCATTTGATGGACTCACAACTGAAATCTACCAGACCCTTGAAGAAGAACAGGTACTGATTTTACTGAAGCTATTTCACAAGATTGAAGTGGAGGGAATCTTATCTCATTACAAAGCAAGTATCACCGAAGCCGGGAAAAGGCACAACAAAAAAAGAAAACTACAGACCAATATTCCATATGAACATAGATGCAAAAATCCTCAACAAAATATTAGCAAACCAAATTCAACAGCACATTAAAAAAAAAAAAAAATACACCATGATCAAGTGGGTTTTATCTCAGGGATGCAAGGGTGACTCAGCATATGCAAGTCAATAAATGTGATCTACTATGTAAACAGAATTAAAAACAATCTTATGATCATTTAAATAGACAGAAAAAGCATTTGAAAAATCCAGCATCCCTTCATGATAAAATCCCTCAGCAAAATAGGCACAGACGGAACATTCCTGAAAATAATAAAATCTATATACAACATCCCTGTAGCCAATGTCATCCTGAATGGAGAAAAGTTGAACACATTTCCCCTCAGAACTGGAACAAGACAAGAATGCCCACCTTCTCCATTCCTATTCAACATAGTACTGGAATTCCTAGCCAGAGAAATCAGGCAAGATAAAAATAAATACATAAATACATAAATAAAATGTATCCAAATTGAAAAAGAGAAAATCAAACTATCTCTGTATGCTGACAAAATGGTCTT